AAGACTAAAATTTTTTTTTGGCAATAAGTTTTCGGGGGAAAAACCCGAAGAAGTGGGGTTTTTACCCACGAAAGCTTATGCCCAAATAAATCTGTTAGTCTTTAAGGTGCCGCCAGACTCCTTGTTGCTCCTTTCAAACACACTCCCACAAATACAGGATTTCATTCTCCATTGCTTTTTCAGTCCCCTGGTTTCCCCTCTCCATCATGCAGTTCGGGTTTGTACCTCCTGCTCTAGAGACGCGAGAGACTCTCTTTGGCTTATACGGAAATATTCCATGTCTGTAGCTGGGCTGAGCGAGCCTAGCTCGGGATGGGGCAGGAGCAGCTTTCGGGCTGTCAACATCCACTTTGCATTAACATCCCTCCATGGGCCTCGCGTTTCTGCTGTGCTACGGGTGGGAGGAAGGGACGTCCCTGAGGCTGCTGAAATGTCTCAGCATGGCTCTCCGCCGGAGGCTGCTTCCATTGATCCCAAGCCCTGTCTCCTCCTGCTCTCTGGTTAGGCCTGATCACAGCCCACGGTAGCGTTTATAACGATTCCCCCGAAAGACTTGGCGTGACGGAGATGCTCACATCCAGGACTTGCAAAAAAGCTGGGGCTGGAGCATCAGAAACACTCGGGAGGGGCTTTTCAAAACGGGTTATTTTAAATGGAAATGGGCGAGCAGCGTGGTGCCTGGATCAAAGAGAAGAGAGATCTGCCCCTAGAATGACACCGTTGCATCCCGGCACAAAGCGCAGCAGGCAGCACAGCTGCTGTGCGGAATTCAAAAGGTATCTTACCTCCGAGAGCGGCGCCGTACGCTTTTGATGCGCTGTCCCGCCTCCCCGCTGCCAGGTGAGTCAGTCACACTGATTAGGCTGATGACAGCGGCAGGCGCCTTGGGGCACAGCCCGAGGTATGTGTCCTGTGCAGCCCCGTAAGCGGGGCTCAACGGCATGTCGCCGCAGGGATTTTGCTGGCAAAGGCTGGCAGCCTTTGGTCTCGGAGTTCGAAGTCGTGTCACCAGCACGTGTTCCCTGTCGTTACACATTGCAAAGGGTGCAGGCCAATGCAGTTTCCTGGGCCCAAGCGTAACACTGGGATTATCCTGACGTTGCTCTCTGCCCTCCAGAGATGAGCACCTCCACCCATGATGTGAGGAGACATCCCCCAAGAATGGCCAGCGAACCACAGGAACTTAGGCCTAGATCCCCAAAGGTATTTAGGCGACTCCCACTGAAATCAAAATACCTTTGAGGATCTGGCCCTTAGGAATGGCCAGACTGGATCAGATCCAAGGTCCTTCTCGCCCAGTATCTGGTCTCTGGCAGTGGCCAGCACCAGCTGCTTCAGAAGAAGGTTGAAGAACCATGTAGAGGGTAGTTATGGAAAAACCTGCCCTTCAGGGTAAAATCTACCATGCAAAGAGGGGCCAGTTTCTTGTTAGCCCCGTGAAAGCTACGTACCCTGAAGGGAGCAGGCCCCGGGGTCTCCGACAGGATGTGCACGTCCCCTCAGCCCAGTGACAGCTACGTACCATGAAGGGAACAGGTCCCGGGGCCCCAGACATGGTGTCCACGTCCCCTCAGAAGGGAGGCAGAGTGCAGAAATGAGGCTAACCCAGGCAGTAGTTCCCTGTTCACTCTCAAACCCTCTGCAGCCTTTGCCATGGGGCCCTAGAGGATAGCCTGGCTCCCCGTATGTCTTACTTCTTTCTTTAAGCCCTGCTCTAAGCCGACTTGTATTTTTAGGCGCAACACAGTGCTGGAATCAAGCTGCCACTTTTGCCCCTGAGGCTCCCATGAGCCACATCTGGCTAACAGTTTTATCAGTTAACAATTCGCAGCATCCCACCTCCCCCCGCCTCCCCCCCCCCGCCTGACAGCCCCAGCAGGACAAGGCGGCTGCTTGATGCAGAGAGCATTGCCTAGTTCTCAGGACTCCTGGGTTCTCTTCCCAGCTAGCTCCCAGCCCTGCCACTGACTTCCACCTCTTGGTGCCTCCGCTTATCCTCTGGATGCAGGGCTAAAGACGCTGAGCTGCCTGGCAGGTTTGGTGGGCGTGCGCCAGCTCGAAGGACAGCAGGTCAGCAGCCTTGTGAGACGAGAGGCCGGGGCAGCAGAAAAGCCATTTTATTTCCATTCCTAGAACGAGTTTCTCCCTGTGATGGACCCGAGAAGCCGGCGCTCGTGTCGGCCAGACGCACTACAACACTGCCCTCTGCTGAAAACCAGCCAGCGCAGCAAGAGGGACCAGCAACCTCAGAGGCACAGCAGGGAGCTGAGGGAAACAGGAGAATTCTCCATGGGGAGTCCCAAGCCATGGACCTGCCTTTTCTCTCCCTCTCCTTCAGCTCCATCAAGCCCTTCGCAGCCTCCGATACAGGGTCCAGAACACGAGCCTGCTTCCCCGTTCTGCTTTCCTAGCTCCCCCAACCCGTTTATTATCTACTCTCTACCAGCCCCGCAATGGAGCCGCCCCCAAGAGCCCTGCTTCACCCAAACGGCCCCCACTTCCTTCAGCCTGCATTCAAAGACTGGCGGAGTGGCACCTAAAGTGCCCTCCCGCGTCCCCACAACACTCCACCTGATCATGGTTTGCAGCAGTGTTACCTGGGTGCCTTGGAGACCTGGGCCGGCCAGAGGCAGGAGGGTTCAGTAGTTAGGATGCTGGACTGAGAGTCAGGAGACTTTGTTCAAGTCCCAACTCTGCCACTGACCGGCTGACAGACTTCAAGCAAGTCCCTTCCCCTATCTGGGTATGTCTACATGGCAGCAAGTCTCATCCTCACCACCCCCCAACCCAAATTTCAGAGCCCAAGCTCCCCGCCCGAACGGGAATGTCCGCACGGTTATTTTTAGCCCTGCAAACCCAAGTCTGCAGACCTGGGCTCGGAGACGCTGTGCGGCAGAGTTGTTTTGGGGTTTTTTTGCACTGTAGATATACAGTCTGTGCCCCTTTCCCACGCTTGGTCTACTTAGATTGTAAGTTCTTCAGGGCAGAGACGGTCTCTTATCCCGGTCTTGAACGGGACCTTCGGGCGCTGCTGTAAAACAGTTAGCATAGGGTTCTTTTCTAGGCTGTCTGGAAGAAGGGATTTCACTTAAACGAAGACACTTAAAACAGACATTCAAGTTAGCTGCTGTAGTTCTGCCAGAAGGCTGAATTTTCCCCTGATAGGTTGCTCCTGGCAAGGACTTTGTGATCATAACATACCAGCTGTCTCTATTTTCTATTCCCCCTCCCTCTCTCACTTCGCAGGCCAACTCTCCTTTTATTCCTTATTCCCTCCTCCCTCCCTCTCCTTTCCTGCTCGTTCTGGCCTGAGTATTCCTTGTGGTCTCCTTTCCAACTTTCAGTCTGTTTCCTCGTCACGTCTAGCCAAAAGGGTGCTTGTGCTTATCAGACAAGACTTTAAATGAAGGTCCGGGCTACTTGTGGCTTTAATGATCCTGTGGCGCTTTTTGGTAAGAGTTAACTCTGGTGTCCTGGCCGCATCCGAACTCGGATAATTATATTCTACCTCAGCTCCAATTCCCAGTTAGACACCGAGGAGTGAAAAAACACACTGTAGTTCAAAATAGCTAGACGGGATTATAATTTCAACTGGCTCTTCCATCTTACTGAACAGATGTGTTGTTTAAAAGATAGTTTTAAAAAAGATATCGAGCATTCCTCAGTTATAGAGGATTTTTCATCTGTAGATCTCAAAGCAAGTAACACATAAGGCGTAGCTTTAACATGCTCATTTTACAATGGGTCAGGGACGTATTTGCCCAAGCTACAAGTCAGTGGCCAAGCTATGGATAGGACCCAGGAGTCCTGACTCCCCACCCTGCCCTGATTCAACAGATCACTTAAGCAGCTGCTTACCTTTAAGAACATGCTTAAATCCTACTGATTTAAGTCTGTGATTAAGTGGTTTGCGGAATTAGGGTTTCTGTGCCCAGACTACTAGATCACATTCACTCCTTGTTTAAGGAGAAAAATGTTTCCAGTCCAGTTGAAAGCAGCTGTAATGCACTGAAAGTCTGACCTTGGCTTCAAACGGTGAGACATTCTCCATGCTAGTCTCGGGCAGACAGCTGCAACAAGATACAAACAGCAAATTTCTAAAACACGGTGTTAGTAGTTGTTTTCTGAGAGGGCAAAAATAAGCTCGGCTCCTCTCCCAGAGGAGCAGGAGACCCAGTAGCTCTTCAGAGCAGGGAACATAAATCTAAACTGCTCAGACATACAAAGCAAGGGTCAAAAATGGAGGAAGGTTGAGAAAGGTGACAGTAGCCAGACTGCCCAGTTAGCCAGAAAGGTCTGTCAACATCTTGATGGGCCCAGTGAAAGTGTGAGCGAGGATCTCTTACAAGGGCTTGGCAACAGCAAATCACTGGCCATCTTTGGGTCCTGGGCATGGGCATTCACTTTCTGCGAGGGAAGACAGATGCTGTGCTGGGCCTCCATGCTAATTAGCCACTAAGGATATAGGCTGTGATGACAACTGCTATTGCTCTGAATTTGCCTGCACGTCCGAGATCATGTTTATGGGCAGCACATTCTCATTTATTTGCAGGGGGCGCCCTTCACACAACACACTTGAGAAAGAGTCACCCCACAAACAAAATGCTGGGAAATTACACTTGGAGCAAGCAGAACAACCTTGAGGGGCCCGCACTGCATGGGCTAACGGAGTTGGCAAACAGAAGGTGGTATTTTTAGAGAGCATCCAGCAAGAGACAGCGAGACCGAAGTGCATGGTTAGTGGCATTTGCTGATAGTGGCCGTTAGGGCCAACTGGGGGCAAGACAGGACCTTGAGATGGGAGAGAGAAAGTCAGATAAATTAAAGAGACCGGGAAGATGATTAGAAAAGAAGCCAGAAGGAAGATACATTCTGGAGTGAAGAGAGGCAAGTGAAGAGGAAGGGTTGGAAAGTAGTTGTAAAGGGTGAGGTGAGAGGGACATAGAAAACAGAGAAGACAAATAAATTAAAGGACAGCAGCCCTATTGTTATTTGTATTATATTGCTTAGCTGCCATAACTGAGATTGGAGTGCCATTGTACTACACTCCAAAACAGCTTACAATCAAATCAGACAAGACAGACCAAGGGTGGGAGGGGAAACTGAGGCACGGAGGGGGGCATTGACTTGTTCAAGGTCACCCAGCAGATCGGGGAACAGAGTCCGTATCTCCAGGCTCCTCATTCAGTGCCCTACTGACAAGACCATGCTGCACTAGGACAGCGATAGCAAAAGAGAAAGTGGGAGGAATATAATTGCTTGAAGAATGTATGCTTCTATTGTTTTAGCAGTTTATAGTCGAGCAGGAACCATTAAAGCAGATGCCTATCACTGAGAGACAAGCAAACGGCCCCAAGAGGTCATAGGACAAGGGCAAATTTGAATTTTTCCTTCTTTTCTTACCAGGGTTGGGGTTGTGGAAGTTCCTTTTGTGTTCGCTATCTCCTGAACTTCGGATTTCGGACCTGCGCATAAGAGATAATAGTCATTTTAATCAGTTTTAGAACTTACATCACACTTTGCAACTTCAAAGCAATGTAGAAACATTAACTACATAGCCAAGTCTCCCAACACCCCTGGGAGAAAAAAATATTTCTCCTCTCCCCCATTTTACAGCGGGGGAGGGGGGGAGGGGATGCAACGAGGTTAAGTAACTTGCCTGAGGTCACAGGGGGAGGTGGGAGTGCCTCCGTGTCACGCCTTCAGCCCATGCTAAGGCCACGCAGTGAACTCTGCATAGCCTCCCAACAGCCAGGTGAAGTGCACAGGTCAAAAGCCAGCTCCAGCCCCTGTGACCAGGAAGTCCCAGGGCATTTCTGCCCCGTGGAAGTGCTCCTGGCTGCAAAATCAGAACTGTGCTCTCACCTTGACTCAGCCCACAGCCACACGATAGAGACTCTAGCGCCGTAGCTGTGGCGGCAGAACTCCGTCGTGTAGACACAGCCGTTCCTCCATTTTCCAAAATGGCGATTTTCCCTTTCTGTAGGAACAGCACCTCCCCTAACAACGGTTGCTATAGCGATAGAAGCATTCTTCCACTGACATAGCTGTGTCTACACTGGGGGGGTAGGTTGGCGTAGCCATGTCAGTCAAGGGGGGGGGGCTGATTTTTCACACCCATGACCAACATAGCTACGTCAACCTAATTTTTAAGTGTTGATAGAGGCGTGTTCTCAGCCTCTCTGGCCCAAGGAGGTTTGTGATGATCTCCCTATGAGCGGGGAAGAGAGAACGCCAGGGGAATGTCTACACTGCAGCTGGGAGTGAGCCTTGTGCTGGCTAGCCTACTAAAAACAATAGTGT